AAGGAAGTGTTATTTGCTCCTTCTCATAAGACAAGAACTAGGGATCACCCAATGCAATTAATAGGCAGTAGATTTAAAACAAACAAAAGAAAGTATTTCTTCACACAATGCACTGTCAACCCGTGGAACTCTTTGCCAGATCATCTTAATGTTGTGAAGGCCAAGACTATAACAGGATTCAAAAAAGAATTAGATAAGTTCATGGAGGATAGGTCCATCAATGGCTATTAGCCAGGGTGGACAGGGATGGTGTCCCCAGCCTCTTTTTGCCAGAAGCTGGGAATGAGTGACAGGGGATGGATCACTTGAAGATTACCTGTTCTGTTCATTCCCTCTGAAACACCTGGCATTGGCCACTGTCAGAAGACAGGATACTGGGCTGGATGGACCTTTGGTGTGACCCAGTATGGCCATTCTTATGTAACAGTTATAAAGCTTTAACTTTTTGAATCTCAACAGCTACTGTCATTAAATAATTGTCTGTCCCCCACCCCCATAATTTCCTGTAACTGTGAAAATTTAGATTGATAAAAATAGAATGGAAGGCTTAACAATAACCATTGATATTATCTGTTGAAATTATAAAAAAAAATTAATTCTGCCAGGCATGGGCAAGAGACAGAGATAAGGTGGGTGAGGTAATATCTCTTATGGCACCAACTTCTGTTGGTGGAAGAAACAAGTTTTTAAGCTTCACAGAGCTCTGCCTGAGATCAAGCCTAGTATAAGCAATCGAAGTACATTTAAATAACATTAAGGTCTGAATCACAGGGAATGTAACCTTAACTGCACTGTTTGCTACTAGGCAAACATTTAAACTGTCAAGGTTGTTAGGCCCAAGATTTGCACTATTTTGAACCACCTTTCCCCCCCAATACCGTGTATACGATGGGATATGTATATTTGTGCAGTTCGTAAAAGCTGTTTTTGAAAGACTCTTGTGATACATGAAGGGGAGTGGGGGGAGTAGCTCCCTTTGATGGACACCCCCAGCCAGCCAGTTAGCTGTAAAATCCCCCTTGGTCTGTTTTCTGCTTGCTTTACCTGTAAAGGGTTAACAAGCCGACTGTAAAAGAAAAGGAGTGGGCACCTGGCCAAAAGAGCCAATGGGAAGGTAGAACTTTTTAAAATTGGGAAAGAAACTTTCCCTTTGTCTGTTGTTCTCTGGGCTGCAGGGACTCGGAGCAGTAATGCTGTAACCAGCTTTAAGCCAGGTCTGATTATAGATTATCAGTTCATACCTCGAATCTACTTATCTGGAGCCTCAGATATGTAAGTAAAATTAGGAAATGTTTAGTTAGACACTATCAGGTTTACTCCTTATTTTGGCTTGTGGATCTCCTCTGTGCTAACCCCAGATGCTTTTGTTTGCTTGTAACCTTTAAGCTGAATCCCCAAGAAAAGCTATTTTGGGTGTTTAATTTTTGTAATTGTTTCTTTTAAGGTCTATCAAAAAGCCTAAGTTCCAGATATATTTTTTTCCTTTTTGTTTTTAATAAAATTGACCTTTTTTAAAAAACAGGATTAGATTTTTGGTGTTCTAAGAGGTTTGTGCATGTTGTTGGATTAGCTGGTAGCCACAGCTAATTTCCTTTGTTTTCTTTCTCAGCTCTTCCCCGGGCTTGAGGGCACCCCACAGGGAGGAATTCCCAAGTGCTCCTTCCTGGGTTCAAAGAGGATTTTTTGCATTTGGGTGGTGGCAGGGTTTACCAAGCCAAGGTCAGAGAAAAGCTGTAACCTTGGGAGATTAATACAAGACTGGAGTGGCAAGTACTAATTTTTAACATCCTTGCGGGCCCCCACTTCCTGCACTCAGAGTGACAGAGTGGGGATTCAGCCTTGACTTGACAACTCTTATTTCAGTGATGGTTGCCTTCAGGATGGAATAATTTAAATCACCAAGCAGCAAACTTTAATTTAAATAATTGATTGTTTTGGATGTGTACGTTTTAGTTATTTGCCTAATGAAGGGTTTATTCTCATTGGTTGATAACCATTTAAACATTCTGATTTGTAACCAAACATAGCCTTTACGCAAAATTTGTTAATTTTTTGCACACCAGCAGGACGCACCATATCTGCACACATTAAAGCAATTCTATAGTTTTCCATACATCTAGTCAGCTTCTTAATTTTGAAATTTTTTTAATGTTAGAAAATCTTGAGAGACATGTTTCTTATGTACTGGGCAATAAATTTTTATTTGGGTTTCACGTCAAGCTGCATTTGGATGGAAATTGGAATTCAATTAAAATGTACATTTTAAAATTGTTTTTATGAGTTAAATAAAACCACCTTAAAAGTGTTGGATACATAAGAAAAAAAGAAAGTTTATTAAAACATGTTTTGCATGTAAAACTATCTGATTTATCAAAGGACGTTTGAACTGTAGTTGATGAATTGACAGATTGTTTCTGGTCACCATAGGCCAGATTTTCAAATGTATTTGGGTGTCTAAATCATAGATAGGCACCTAATCTATTCACAGACTTTCAAAAATCCCATTAGGCCCCTAACTACCATTGAAATCAGTGGGCCTTGAAAGCAATAGGAGTCAGGTGCCTCACCTGCCTAGGTATTTTTGAAAATCTGACTAGACCTAGCTGCATCTTTTGGTACTTAAATACCTTTGAAAATCTGGCCCCATGTCCTTCATCTCCCACCTGGTTTTTATTCATAGAGTGGAAGAGGAAAACAAGACTTCCTGCTTTTTCAACTCCCTATTCATTTCTCAGTTTTGAATGAACTAGTCCAAAGGAAGATAATTTTCTTTGTGCACCTGCTACCAAAATTGAAACCAAAAATGACTGAGGCAAAAGCTTTTCTGCACAACAGAAACTGGAAGTACTTACACGTTTGGAAAAAAGTAAATAACGTGCTCCATTGTAAAGAGTGAAAATAATATAGATTCTTAATGCAGCACATGCCCTTATGACATATTTATAAACCTTGAGTTGACCTCAAAAGTTGGTGGTTTCGTCCTGCTTCTGTAGATAATTAAAAAAGCAGCACCCTTTAACTCATTAAAATCTGAGGAAGGCTCATTGATACAACATACTTTTTTTTAATTTAAATTATTCTAATGGATTATAGTACGTGTAGGTTCTCATAATTTAAAATTAAATTTCAAATAGGTTTATTGTTTACAATCATGTAAATAAAAAAGACAATCAGCAAAAATCTAATTAAAATAAAAGATCTGATTTCTAATTTTTTACAACTCCCCCCCCCCCAGTTTTTATCCACCCTTGTGTGGTTTTGTATTATTATTTAAGACTTATATTATTGTAGTACTTCATTGTACTAGGTGCTCTGCAAAATATAGTAAATGGCAGTCCATGCCCGAGGAGCTATGGGAAAGGCATGTAATCAATAAGGCTGCTGTATCTAACTGTTCTTTAACGTGTGGAAGGAAGAGAGAGTGCTTTAAGGCTTCCAGAGCAATATGCCTGTTAATCAGAATGTAAATAAACTGCCTCCAACTTCATTTCATCGATGATATTTCTCTTTAATCCTTCAAAAGCAAGAAAATTTAGGGTTTAAAATTGACACTTCACCCCTTCCAATATGTCTTGATATTATTGCAGAGGTGTCTGAAGCAGATAATATCGCAGACCTAGTCATCTTACAGATCTTGGGAGCCCGTATTTATTGTTTGACGTGTATTTGTTGGAGATTTTTATTACACCACAGAAATTCTTCTGCTGTACAGTGCACTACTTCAGACGTGCCACACAAGTTGTATGATTAGGGAAACTGTGACCAAAAGGTTAAATGGCTTGATTTTTTTCAGAAGAGCTGGTCATTCCCAACTCCAGCTAAAGCCAATGAGAACTTAGTGATCACAATCTTTGAAAAATTGGGCCCTAAGTGACTTTCCCATGGCCACAAAGGTATCTAGTGTTGGATCCCAGCCTGCTTCCTAGCTCCCTACCTTGTGCTCAGATCACTAGGCTATGCCTCCTTCTAAAACTAAATATCAATTTAGTTTTATTTCCACAGTTACACTATATAAAAGACTTAATATGGAATTATTGAGAGAAGGGTAAAAACCTTACCATTAGGGGAATAAAAGAACTAGAGTTCACTATTATCATTGCTTTGAATAAAACCTGAATTTGTTATGAAGGTTTTGGAAGCATATCTTGTTCAGTCTCCGTTGTATCGCTTACAAAGTACCGTTGACATAAAAGAAATGCACAAGGTTCTGGTCGATTACTTTACTTTATAAAGTGACCTTTCTAGCTGTTCCTTGCAATACCATCGCATGTCTCCCTCTGCCCCACATCTGTGTTCCTTTGTATGTGTGTGTGTGTGTGTGTGTGTATATGGAGAGGAAGGGCAATATCTGTATTTGAGGATCCCTCTTCCATACTTTCAACCTTTTAAAAGCCATTGTTATGATCATGGTGCTGTTATCTACCTGGTCTTAGGGTTTAGAATTTAGCAACACTCTACTACTCTCTTATTAGCATTAGCAGGGTTTTATTGCTCTTCTTCTGCAGCAGCCATCCTTTCCTAGTTCCTGCTGGCTCAGAGTGGGAAAGATGGACTAGAAATGGTGCACTTAACCATAACTATGTGAACCATCGCTCTGATTTCATGAATTATTTGTTTATATCTATCATATATAAATAAAAAGTGCTTATCCCAGGCTTTAGATTCTTTTGCTAAGTTTTAAAATACACAATCCATACCAAATGAATTAAACCTGAATTAAGCAGTATAATTTGATAATTGTTTTCAGACCAGATCTGGAGAATGTGTCTGTTCTAAGAAATTAAATATTTTGGGGGGGAAGAACAATTTTTTAAATAAGATCTGTGGTGTTCAGAATAGAACTTCGCTTGTATAAACTTTTTAGGGCTATTGTCTGGCTTGAATTGAGTCAGTTGTCCTGTTATCCTCAAGTAATATTAAGATATGGGAAGACAAATAATTTTTTGCAGCCTGTTTTCTAATTGAATACATGCATTTATAAATATCATGTTTTCACTCAGAGCCTTTGTATAACACTGGAGCTGTGGACACTTCTCAGAGTTTTATCCAGATGTACTCCCCACTCCCTGAAATTCCTCACGATGAAAATGCTGCTGAATCATGGGAAACTTTAGAAGAGGTACATTGGAGTTCCCTTATATTACCATTTAAGTTCATTTTCTTTAAGCAAATACATAAGAAATCATTTTTTATTTGTAGGACTTGATTCAACTCAGCCAGCTGGTGACTGACTTCTCTTTACTAGTCAATGTAAGTATTAATCTAAAACTCTAGATAAAGAATTGATAAAGACAAAGGCTGGGGGACTGGGTGGCTCAAATAATTGGTAAAGAGATAGTGGAGACTTTTGTCACTGATTTAAAGTCAGACTAAGTTGCTACAATTTAACGGCTATTCAGCAGCCTAATATGAAATTGTCTCAGCCCACTTATTAGGGCACAGAAGTCGTATCACATTTTGCCCCTGTTAGTAGCTTCAGGAAAATGACAGTGACTGACTGGAGTCATAGAATGGTCCTTCCTAATCAAGATTTCAAGGCTGTGAGGGAAGTTTGCACTGTTGATGTCTGTGCTGTATCTCATGTATGGATAAATACTGTAGAGAACTCACGTTTCCAGGTCTGTCAATCTGGCACTTTCCATCAGTCTTAAATAGTATGTATACATACGCGCACACATCCTTATGCATTTCATTAAAATATAGGCGCGTGGGGGAGATAACAGTACAAAAGCTAGACCCAAACTCTTGGGCTTGGTTCTGCATTCCTTTTACATCTAAACTCCCACTAAAGTCAGATTCTCCCTTTTTTGGAAATCTAGATTTAAGAATAACCTTTGAAGAAGAAGAAGAATAAAAATCAGTAGTGTGAGGATCAGGCCCCTGAGGTCAATAGATAAAACTTCCATTTTGTTAAGTGAGGAACAGGAACATGTGCTAATTGATTGGCGCTAAATGACCTTTAATCATCTAAGCTATTAATAACAGGGGTAAGGAATTTGCTTTACTATCCGCTGTCTATCTTGACAGTGACCATTTAAGAATGTTGTCATGTTACACTGCATTACTGTATTGAAAGCCCTCATGAGGTTTTCAGGATAAAGATTTACATTAAATTCTCGAGAAGTGAGTTTTAAGGTAGGCCCCCTCTTTACCCTTGGTTTCCAAGCACCATGTTGCAGCAATTAGGAGCATTCAATAGCACTGGCTTAACATGCTTAATTGCCTCACCATGAGGAGGTCTGTGAAGCTTGCTGAGGAATAACAGACACTAATGCTATTCTCTCTGTGTATCAACAGCTTCCATGCTGCATGCATCTTGACCATTGAGCCCTGTTGATTCTGATCCTTTCTAGGCAATTTTTCTTTGTATCTTGATTCCCCTTACTTCAAAGAAACTACTGCTAGCTGCTCCATAGTCTTTAATTTTTGCCAACACAGAGGCTGCTGATAGGGATAGTTTTCAATCCAAATTCCTTTGTCAGGTTCCCTTTGCATCATACTAACCATTAGAAAGCGTGAACATTAGAGCAGGAGGTACAACAGTTTTCCTACTGGGTTTCCACACATTCTCAGCGTTTCAGGTTGTGGTGAGAAGGACAAGAGACTCCACTGAACAAGATTTGTGTTTTTGCTTACTTAGTCAGGACTTTAGGAAAGGATCTGAAGTTTCACCCACATTCCACACAACATCTCATAGAAGAGAAGAATGAAACGCTGTATGCGCACAAATGTGCCATCTATTCTATCTTCCACCTGCTTCATGATAGATTGTGTATACACAGAAATTGTACTGATTTAATTTACATGGTTTCAGAAATTGCTTGGTTAAATTGGTTCAACTCCCTTATGAGGATGCTTTAAATTGGTTTGAGTGTCTTATAACAATTTAGGTTAAGTCAGTAATGCATCGTTAATGGTCAGAATCTCTTTCCATCTGGCTGTATGTGTAAAAACATGTGGGTGGAAACACTGTTTGGGTGCCCTCCAAACATGGCACCCTAGTCAGTTAGTGGTTAAAACTATCGGTATTGGGTGCACATCTCAATACACAAGGGTTTTTTTAAGTGGAAAATTATGCACTGCTCATGCACAATATAGGCCTGACCTCTATACGGTGACTTCTGTGGAGGTTAGCGCGCTCAGCACCTTTGGAGGAGTGATACCTATAGGATTTTCAGACACTTAGACTGTAACTTCGTTATTTCTAAACCAGGACTTGAGCCATAACAGTGCATATGTGATGCTGTGATATTTTCTGGGAAAGCAGTCAAAGTAAGAGAAACAAGGTGGAAGATGGAGAGAGAGCAGGAGGAGGTGGAGACAGAACACCATCTTCTCAGGACTGTTGTTGCTCTTCTGTTAAAAGTGGCAGAGAAATATGAACCCTGAGTTTGTGTGCCTGACATACTGCTGTAGAATGAAATACATATTGACAGTACCTTGCTGTTCTATTATGTGTTCCATCCAAGGATCTCAAAGCACTTTATGATGTCTGAAGACTCACAATACACTTGAGAGAAGAGAAAGTATTATCTCTATTCCTTTAAACAAGGAAACTGAGCCCTGGTCTACACTACGAATTTAGGTCGAATTTAGCAGCATTAGATCGATTTAACCCTGCACCTGTCCACATGACAAAGCCATTTTTGTCAACTTAAAGGGCTCTTAAAATTGATTTCTGTACTCCTCCCAGACGAGGGGATTAGCACTGAAATTGACCCTGCTGGGTCGAATTTGGGGTAGTGTGGACGCAATTCGACGGTATTGGCCTCTGGGAGCTATCCCAGAGTGCTCCATTGTGACCGCTCTGGACAGCGCTCTCAACTCAGATGCACTGGTCAGGTAGACAGGAAAAGCCCCGCGAACTTTTGAATTTCATTTCCTGTTTGGCCAGCGTGGCGAGCTGATCAGCACAGGTGACCATGCAGAGCTCATCTGCACAGGTGACCATGGAGTCCCAGAATCGCAAAAGAGCTCCAGCATGGACTGAACAGGAGGTACTGCATCTGATCGCTGTATGGGGAGACCAATCCGTGCTATCCGAACTCCGTTCCAAAAGACGAAATGCCGTAATATTTGAAAAAATCTCCAAGGGCATGAAGGACAGAGGTTATAACAGGGACCCGCAGCAGTGCCGCGTGAAACTTAAGAAGCTCAGGCAAGCCTACCAGAGAGGCAAACGGCCACTCCGGGTCAGAGCCCCAGACTTGCCGCTCCTATGATGAGCTGCAGGCCATTCTAGGGGTTGCCCCTACAACTACCCCACCCCTGTGCTTCCCTCCTTCCCCACCCGTCCCGGGCTATCTTGGCAGTTATCCCCCCATTTGTGTGACGAATTAATAAAGAATGCATGAATTTGAAACAACGACTTTATTGCCTCTGCAAGCGGAGATCAAAGGCGGGAGGGGAGGGCAGTTGGCTTACAGGGAAGTAGAGTGAACCAAGAGGGCGGCTTTTCATCAAGGAGAAACAAACAGAACTTTCACATCGTAGCCAGGCCAGTCATGAAATTGGTTTTCAAAGCTTCTCTGATGCACAACGTGCCCTGCTGTGCTCTTCTAACCGCCCTGGTGTCTGGCTGTGCGTAATCAGCGGCCAGGAGATTTTCTTCAACCTCTCACCCCACCATAAATGTCTCCCCCTTACTCTCACAGATATTGTGGAGCACACAGCAAGCAGTAATAACGATGGGAATATTGGTTTGGCTGAGGTCTAACCGAGTCAGTAAACTGCGCCAGCGAGCTTTTAAAAGTCCAAAGGCACATTCTACCACCATTCTGCACTTGCTCAGCCTATAGTTGAACTGCTCCTTACTACTGTCCCTGCTTCATGACCCATGGGAGCAAGGGGTAGGCTGGGGCAGGTGCGACCGTGCGGTGCTCCCGACTGGGAGAGCAACCTGAGGCAGAAGCCTCCAGCTGGCATGATATTCCAGGCAGGACTGAATCTCCATTAGATGAAACTTAAAGAAGAGAACGACCTGGAGTCTTTCCCATTTTTGTCCAGGCGCCCCCGACCGACCTCACCGAGGCCGGCCAGCAGCACCCGTGTCTGCCCAAGCACACCCGACCAACCTAACCGAGGTTGGCCAGGAGCACTCACGGGACAACGGCTAGCAGTCGTATTGCACCGTCTGCAAGGCAAGGCAAGGGGATGTTGCTGTGTAGCACTGCAGTACCGCGTCTGCCAGCAGCACCCAGGAGGCATACGGTGACAGTGAGCTGAGTGGGTTCCATGCTTGCCATGGTATGTTGTCTGCACAGGTAACCCAGGAAAAAAGGCGAGAAACGATTTTTTGCCTTTGCTTTCACGGAGGGAGGGGGGCCTGACGACATGTACCCTGAACCACCCGCAAGAATGTTTTTGCCCCATCAGGCATTGGGAGCTCAACCCAGAATTTCAAGAGACTGCAGGAACTGTGGGATAGCTACCACAGTGCAATGCTCCGAAAGTCGACGCTAGCCTTGGTACTGTGGACGCGCTCCGCCGACTTAATGCGCTTAGTGGGGACACACACAATCGACTGTATCAAATCGATTTCTAAAAAATCGACTTCTATTAAATTAATTTCGTAGTGTAGACATACCCTAAGTCACAGAAGTTTCCCAGGGTCTCAAAGTCTGTGGCAGAGCTTGGACTATAAACTCAGCGCCTGATTCCCACTTAATCACAAGACCATCAATTCCCATTATACACATGGCTTATTATGTGAATTATGTCATATGTTGTAAGAATCTACCCATTCCTGTACCTGCTGTTTAGTTAAACCGTAATTAAGAAAAATGAATTGCTGTGGTGTCTAGTACTACGGAGGCTGGAAAGGCATGGGTGTTTGCCACAGACATTCATTACACCACGTCTGACAGAACTGGGCTCAGCCATTGTGCTAGAAAGAGTAAAACAAAGCTTGTTCTGAGCAGAGATCTTAAATTCAGAACATTTTAAACTGTATGCTGGACAGCCCATTGTGCTTTGTGACGGAATGAGGCTGGGGTCCTGCTGCGGTTTACAAATGAGGGGAAGAAGTATCTCATTTCCAAATAGCAGCTGAGGGAAGCTGCTCACCGAAAGCTCAAGGGGGCTCGCAGTAAGACTGTGACTGACTGGGGAAAGTGGAGCATTTTTGCCTAAGTTAAACGAACATAAAGCATAGGATGGATGTGCAATTTCAGTGTATTTTCAGCATAGTCGTGAGATTAGATCTGTAGGGTTACGTTAACGTAATATAGTTTCATAGGTAAAACATGGCTTTTGGGATTTCTCTAATCCATCAATGAAATGTTGTGTGTCATACAATGTGTGCCTGCCTTGTACCCTCTCTTATTAGAAAAGGAATTGTTTTGAGTATGAAACTCGGCATGAAGAATAAATGCTTGTTTGGATTTATTGGATTTTTCCCTGAGATGCAAATTCATCCATTCATATAACAGTAGATTAAATAAGAATACATTTTCGTTTGCTCTGTCTTTAAGCGTATCAATACTCTGTATAATAGCACTCCATTTTATTACCTAATAGTTAAATTCCTTTTTGTAAGTGGTTTTGTACTTTCAGCTTGGTTTATCAGATGCTATTAATGAACTACCATTAAGGCTGCATGGCTACAGTGTGTAGCAGATGAAAGCTGCTGCGGGGCCCTGATTACAGGCATTAAAATAGTGTGTATTGGCTTACTGCTGCTTCCCAGCAGGTAACTTCACTCATAATTCCTTTGCATCTAGTCTCAGCAGGAGAAGATTGACAGGATTGAAGACCATGTCAACAGTGCTGCTGTGAATGTTGAAGAGGGAACCAAAAACTTGGGGAAGGTAGGGCTCTATTCCCGCTGGTGAATCAATGGTACTCTGCCTCCCAGCAATCTTCTGTATTAACCCAATTGATCTGCCGTCTTTAATGCTGAGGGAACCAGCAATTAAGGAAATAAGGAAGAAATGACACATAGGTAGTGAAAAAAAATCAATCTCTTGTAATGTTCTATTATATCCAGTCTGCCAGAAAAGAATTTCTCTGGCCTAAAGCCTCATTATAAGGTTGTTCTGCTGCTTCTTTCAATGGAATACCTGCAAAAACAGGCAGCAGAGTGTTAAATGATTGGCTCATAAGAGTCAAATGAGTGTGAAATGAAAGGATACCTGGGACACATGCTGCTGCAATACTAAACCACATTTATATCACTAATAGTTGTTGTTAACCCACAAATATAGCATCGGCATGTTACTGGAAAGTTTCTGGGCAGATTACAATTCTTACATTTGTTTTAATTATGTAGGCCAGACAGTGGAATATTATATTGCAAATATTATCAACCAATAGCAATGATCTGTTTTCCTACTACACACATGGGATAGCTCAAGTTTGACGCAGTTATGGCACATTCTCTCTTACTGTGGAATAGTGTATTTTTAAAAAAATGTAATTTGTAAGGTTTATTTATGAACCGAGAATTAGGGGTGTATTGCCAAGAGTAATGAGGGGAAAATGCACATCACCACAGGTGTGTTCTAAACAGATTTTTTTTTTTTTTTTACAGGCTGCAAAATATAAGCTGGCAGCTTTGCCTGTGGCAGGTGCACTCATCGGTGGAGTGGTGGGGGGTCCTATTGGTCTCCTCGCAGGCTTCAAAGTGGCAGGAATTGCAGCTGCACTTGGTGGTGGGGTATTGGGCTTCACAGGTGGAAAATTGATACAGAGAAGAAAACAGAAAATGATTGAGGAGCTCTCTTCCAGCTGTCCAGACCTCCCTAGCCAAAGTGACAAAAAATCCAGCTGAAGTAAGATTTCAGTATGGCTAGGACTGGAAGTAATAGTTCCAGTGATGACGACAGATATGCAATCTTCACTTTGAACATAAGTCTGTTGAGCGGTGAAGTGGGAGGTGAGATAAGTACTTTTAGTCCTGTAATTTTGAAAGCCGTAAGGAATACGTTTTCATCATAAAGAAATATGCAGCCCTAATGAATAATGGGTTGTGTGCCAGATTCACCCCTTATTTTGTATGATGATACTGAAGTGGGTTTAGTTGAGAATCCAGAACAAATAATGAAAGGCTTTGGAGCATTCTTACTAGAAAAACTGAGGGGCCCTAAGGTTTGGAGCACTTTTATTAAGTGATTTCAAAGATTAGTACGCTATTAGTACTCCTCTCCGTCTTTTAAACTTCACAATTTGGTTCTGGTCAAATGTTAAAAATGACCTGGTTTTACTCTTCATTTGTTTGTATGCCCAAGCCCCCATACAGTCTGGTGTGGCTGTCTTTGCTCGCCTAAACAGATGCACAGACTGGCAATGAGGCCTGAGGGTTAAGGTTAAATCACATTGTTTCAGGTGTGGTGAAAGCTTAAGTAAACCCAGCATCTGCTTGCATTATCAAACTAAACCAAAGTAGTGGTGCTGCTCCCCTCCCTTTCTAGAGCACTAAATTCACTCTGCTCTTTTTAAAGAAAAGTCATTTTTTCTATCTTTCTTTTTTTATTCATGTCTTCCAAATCCAGCTGTTTTTTTGTTTTGTTTTTTTCAAATCCAGGCCCTTCTCTCCCTCTTCAAACAGCCAAAAAACAAAAAAACCCACACACTCCGGGGGATTGCTTGTGCTAGGAGAGGTAGCATTCCTTGACTGTTCTCCTCCCAGCCTGGCTTTGAAAGCTGCTTTGTGGGGTTAATTCCCCCCCCCCCCCCGCCTGTTTAAGAAGCACCTTGCTCAGGTGCTCTTCTCCCTTTTTTCTCCATGTCTTGTTCACAGCCTGCCTCCATCAAAACAGTGGTGGGACAGGACAGAAGATCATTCAGTAAAGACATTGGCTGCTGTTTATAGCAATGTCAGCTCCTCAGTCCTTTATTCCCATTCCACCTATTCAGCGAGGCTGTAGTGGGGATTTAGTGTCACTTTGTGACATACAACCATCACATCTGGAAGACAAAGGACTGTGAAGCTGGCAATCCTGATGAACTCACCAGTAACTTGTCAAGTGGTGCCATCATTCGGTGATCTGATCACAGTTTCAGTAATGTTAATGTAGTTCAGATGTGGTGGGTTCACCTAATGCTTATGTATGGGCTGGTCAGGTATGCTTCTTGCTCTCTCCAGCCACACAGCTGTTTAGTTCTTTCTTCAGTTTCCACTGGATCACTTCTGCCAGGCTCTGTTGTTTATTCTTAGTAGACTTTTAGCTCAGCATAGCATTCCTCCAGGACTCAAGGTTTGCTGGTGTTCTCCATAGCATTCTTGCTCACAGCTGCCAATATGGGTCGTTCGCTCTTTTCCTAGCCTGTGACACTGTCTTCCCCGGGAGAGCTGCTGTTCATTTATCCTGTTTGCTTGATTTTCACTAGGACCTCTCTGCACCTCCCATCTTTAAATATATGGCTTTTAACAAGTTTTTAATTTCACCCAGCCCTGGATAGTCAATAGTGGCAATCTGTGTTTGCCATTCCCATTCCAGCACTGCTGTTAGAGCCTTGTGGGAAAACACAAGCTATGCCGTTGCTTCTTTAAGATCTCCAGTGGTCTCATTTTCCTGAGACCTGTTTGACTGTACAAAATAAACCTCTAAAAAATGGTTACTTAAGTGGAGTTTTATTACACAATGTGGTTCGGTGTTCCATAGCCCAGCAGGGAATTGCCACTGCATCACATTTAACAACAAAAAAAAAATGGAGCTCCACTCAACCCAGGATTTGGCACAGTCTGTGGAAATAATTGTCTTCTAATGGTGGGATTATGGGTTTTGGTGCCTAAATATTGTAAGGAACTGTTCGTTTGAGCACAAGTTCCCTGTATAGGATATTTCTTTCTTAATTACATAATTTATTAATTACATGTAAAATAAAAATGTGAACCCAAATGTGCAGCTGTTCAGATGTCTGTTAAGACAGACTTTGCGTCCCTGAGCCTGTGTGTACAAGAATGGTTTTCACACATAATCACTAAATTATAAATTGACAAAACTGCATAGTAGAAGCTAAAGTGCCTACATTTATAGAACCAGACAGAGGGAAAAGGACCTCCTGAGTCATCTAGCTCATTTGCTCATGACACTTAAGTACTTTCTTTAAATGCAAGAACTGTGACTGTAAACACTGCTGATGGACTTGTAATAACTGTTACACTAGGCTGTTTCCTTCCTTATCTGATAGTCTTTACCTTTAAACTTTTCCTACTTTTCAATTTTTTTTTAATTAACTAGAAGCCATTGTTTGTTGTAGGACTTTCATGGGACACATTTACTTTCTTTCCGTACACTACGGAACCACTACATACTATTTTACATGGGATGAAAATTTGATGAAGGTGTGGTAGTACCGTAACAGGCTGTAGCTATAGAACTGTAGTCTTTTTCCACCACACTATTCATTGTACTGTTGCATACAAACTCAGTTTAATAGGTTCTCACTTTATGGCCAAAATTATTCATATTTTTAGAAGCAGCAAAATGCAGTAAACAAACTGTCTTTTCATTACATTTTGTATGTACGCAGAACTTAGAATACCGTTAAACCTGCAACACTATAAACATTGACTTGAGAAAAAAAAAAAGTTTATTTGCATAGAAGGACAAATGTGGGCTCCCTGCAGTAGCCAAATTAACATTTAATTTTCCATGGACACTAAGAAATATCTAGACTACAAGCCAGGCACTTTTCCCCAGACTAAATGAGGGTTTTTGCCTTCATTTTCTGAAGAGCGATATTATTTTTATTTAGAGTGGCATTCTGTAGTTCCTTTACAGGATCTAATGGATTACTACTTTTTTCAAGTAATTATTTTAATAATTCAAAACAATATTCTGTGTATTAATATTTAAAACAACCTTTTGTTGAATTAGGAAAGTATCATTTGCTAGTGTCCTCACCTGAGGAAAATATCTAAACCACTGAAATGTAATGGTGGATGGACACAGTGCCTGAAGTGTTTTTCATCACATTGTGCATCTGTGTAGAGGCTCACCACGATGTGCTCTATATTTATGCTGTACATTAATGTTGAAATTCAGAAGTGTGCATAACTAGTGTCACCTACGTGGTGCCTTCCATGCATGTTACCTGAGCTCAGCCTCCTCCTTCATGTTAAAATATCCACTGAAGAGCAACATCTGCAATGTTGCTTATAGACAATGTACCTGATGTGTACGGACAGTATTGTTTCCCCTTCTCCTTAACCCCGATTGTCTGTCCTTGGGGTTAGGAGCTCTTGAAGGCAGGCTCCCTGATTCTTGTTTGGTTATGGTAGAACCCATGACGTGCGTGGCATTTTCTAGCCAAAGTGTAATAGCAGCAGCATTGCCAACAGAGGTTAAAAAAATACTCAACCAGATTCATGAGGGTTTGGGCTACTCTGTTTACTGCACAGAGGATGTAGGACTACATGGTTGCTATGTACTGAAGTGACACATGCATATACTTAGTGCAGGTAGCTCATGTGCCTCATACCTCAGTACAGCAGCTGCCAGCCAGTAGCACAGCACCAGAACCATTATATAGAGAAAACATACTGGAACATTGTGGAGACCGTGGTGAATGGAGGGTAGACTCCCCCCAGCTAGGATCTACTTTTACCATCTGTATTATTCCTCACAAAGGAGATGGTGATACCAAAGCAGAAGCCAGGGGACAGAGGATTTAGTTAGTAGTAGTGATATCTAGGGCTGTGGCAACCAGGAGAATCATTTGGTGACTTCACTGCAAGGGGGGGAAGGATCTCACAAAACTTCCAGTGGTAGGCAAGGGCTTGCACTCATGCTACATATCAGTAATAATCACATAGAAAGGTAGAGAAGGGCCTGGAAACTACATTTAGATTAGGAAAAAATGTAGGGTCAGGGCTGCTGGGGTAGTGCTCTCTGAAGTGCACTGGAGAAATACAGGGTCTGCTCAACAGATAACTTCAGAGGTTCCAAAGTTTTTTTGAGAAGGTGGTATAAAGAGGAGTGGTTTAAATTTATGAGGCAAGGCATCCATGGTAAGTGAGTTTGGGGAGAAGGAGAACGTATTCCAAAGAAGCTTAACCAAAGTGGAACTGGGTGACTGGTACAGAAAATTGTAAGCTGCACAAATGAGAGAAACAAAAATATTAAAATGCCATTCTGTAAATCAATAGGATGCCTTTTAGGTGGAATACAGTGTTCAGTTTTGGTGACTCATCTAAAATATATATATATATCAGACATAAAAAGGGATCAAACTGACAATGAAAATTATTAGCTGAAGAGAAAAACTTCCATTTGAGGAGGTATTGAAAAGAGTAGGGCTGTTTAGAGAAGAAACATGACATATAAAAGAATACTACAGAACAGGTAAATCGGCAGCTCGTATTTACCCTGACTAATACAAGACTAAAGGAACATTCAAGTAACCTGACAGGCAAATCAACTTAGAACTGAAATAAGGGAACACTTTTTGCCCTCTTGCATAATTCACCTGTGGAACTGACTGCTACTGAGCCCAAGAGCTTAGTGGGGTTCAAAATAGGAACATATTTCTAAAGAAACATTCACTGTTACATTAGGTAGGCTAAAAGTAAATCCTCATAAGTCAACTAGTAACTGCCTGGCATTAGGAAGTAAGGGCTACATTCAAAGAGGGGACCTTAGGCATTACACTACTTAATTCCTAGGTGCCCTGCTGCCCAGGGAAAAGCACAGCCCCAAGTTAGGGCCCCCAGCCCCCTACACACTGTATGGGGCAAGTTAGGAACCCAGAAAGGTGGTCACAGAAGTTCCGCTGAGGAGGGAACCACCTAAGCCAATAGGAAATTTATAGGAATACGGCAAGGACTTAGGGCCCAGATCCAGAAAGGGACTTATGCACCTATCTCTTAAGGATTCACAGCCACAAACCCTCTCCTGGAGTTAGGCACCTAAGCAAGGGCAGCCCTTTCTTGTGAAAAACCAGGGAGACACTGATCATAGCCAATGGACCTATGTTTAGGGCACCCACCTGGGAGTCACATCTTGCTCCAAAACAGGGATTTGAACCCTAGTCTTCCACCTCCCAGATGAATGCCCTAACCCCCAGAGTATTGGCTATTCTCTCCTGGAGCGTACCACAGAGTTCCTATGTGATGCTAGGCAAGTCACTTAGTGACCACTTGTGAAAAGTTCATTAACTGTGTGTTTTTTATTTTCTGGGTGCCTGACTTGAGATGCTGGAGTCTGATTTGCAGAAGTGCTGCACCTTCAACAGCTGCAGCCAATGGGAGTGAAGTGCTACATAATGCCAAGTCTCTCAAAAATCAGGTGCTGTGTGTCAAATTGGGCAGCCCACATTATAAGACCCTTGACCTTAACCCCTGGGTCTCAGTTCTCCATCTATAAAATAGGGATATCATCTCTTCATCCTACATGGATATTGTGAAAATAAGCTTTGGGAAGCTTTCGGATACTATAGTGATGAGTACCATAGAAAAGCCCCTGAGAAAAAAAATAATTCTGGCTTCAGAGAAGGGATTGTAGAGTAGGCAGTAAGTATGGTCTCGTGCCAGATTGGACAA